ACTTGGACCCCAAATCTGTTCTTCCCTTCTATTTATTTATTCGATTTAGTGCCAAGTGTTTACTATGTGCCAACGACTGCACTTTGCCCTGGGGTAATAACCAAACACAAGCTTTGCTTTCACGGAGTTGAGAGCCTAGGGAATAAACCATCTGAGAGATAGGTAAGGTAACGGTGCTAAAATACGGGCAAAACGATGCTGTCACAGGCCTGGAAGTGACATGTGGTCTTAGGTCTCAGGATGAGGAGCAATTAGCTAGGTAAGAGGGATACGGGAATGGTGTGAGGAGGCATGTTTCGACCACAGGGCACAGTGTTCTAATGACTCAGGGGTCAGAGATACTGATATGATTTAAGGAATCAAAGCATTTGGGTGCTGGTGGAAAGTAGTCTTTGAGGGAAAAGGCAGTGACAATTGAGGCTATAGATTTAGGTAGCAGCCAGATCATGAAGGGCCCTGTAAACATGTTTAAGGATTTAACCTACAGAAGAGTGAGTGCCATTCAAAATATTTAACAACTTAGAATGTTTGCACCAACCAATCAGAACTGATGCTAGCCTGAGCCATCCAATCAGAAAAGAGCAGCTTATCAATGCACCAGCTGAATGCAATGTTCCTGACGAGTTGAGCGGTATCTGATATATCATTTAGAAAAGAAAAATCTCACTGTTAACATGTGGCAAATGGATTTGAGGAAAGAAAGAATGGGGATTTGAGACCAGTTATTAACCCTACCAGACCTGAGGTCCTGAACCTAACTGACCCTTATACCTGGGCTCCTGAGCATTAAATAGAAAAATCCAACATGATATAGAAAAATGTTAGTTACATGCAAACAAGTGGTTAGAATAAGATGGAACTTGGAGACATTGTAGAAAATAGGTCTACCTTTCATCTAGCGCCAATATTCCACCTTTGTGTGGAAGTTATCGAAAAATAGCTACAGCGGTCTGGTAGGGTTAAGCTGGCCCAGGTGTAATGGTCTAGGTGATTGATGAATGCGGCCTTTGCCAGAGTGGGATCGGCAGAATAAATGTATAGGGTGTGATTCTAGAGATGTTAGAATATAGATTTAGCAGGAATATTTGATTAGCCTTTTAGTGAAAGGAATAGCCAGCTAGATGAACAGTGCCATTTACTGAGACAAAAGGTACTAGAAAAAGGTTTATTTACTTGCTTGTTTAATTGTGAGGGCGAGGTGGGATGGGGAGAATATATAGGTCACAACCTCAGTGTGACACAGATTGACTCTGACCCTTCTGAGGGACAGCCCACGGGTTAAGCATGAAACCAGGAGACTGACCTGGGGATAAAGACCGGGGAGGAGTCACCGGAAGAGAAAGCATAGATGAGGAAACCTAAGGTGTGTGTGCGGAATCAGAAAAGAAGGTAGCTTAGGGAAGAACCCTGAGGACCCAGTACCCTGTTTTCAACCAACCTAAAATTTTTACTTCCAAAAATCTGCAAATCTAACAGATGGTCATGGCAGCCCAGCCGGTGTGGCTCACTGGTTGGCATCAACCTATGAACCAGGAGGTCACTGGTCAATTCCTGGTCAGGGCACATGCCCAGGTTGCAGGTTTGATCCCCAGTAGGGGGCATGCAGGAGGCAGCTGATCCATGATTTTCTCTCATCATTGATGCTTCTATCTCTCCCTCTCCTTTCTTCTCTGAAATCAATAAAAATATATATTTTAAAATGCACATGCTCACATGAAAACTACTCTGTTAGTATAATGATATACATTTAAAAATATGACTGCAATAAATATTTGAAATAAAAGACCAAAATAAAACTGAAAAACAACATAAACCAACAAGAAACACCAGATTGGCTTCTAAAATTTTATAGGTAAATCCGGACTCTCTCTATGAGCAGATGACTGAGAGGAAGCAGGGGAAATTATCAACGCGATCAATCTATTACAGTAGAAGGAATCCTAAGTTCTCTGAAAGAAGATGAAAGAGAATGAGAGCTGATTCTAAATGACATAAAGTAGACAATTTTCTTATAGAAAAACATATAAGTACTAGGCTACTGACCAAATTCATTTCACCTGCACATATCTTAGCACTGAATGCTCTTCTAACTTCTAACTTTGCCCTTAAGCCTTCTACCTTCCAAAGCCTCAACCCCTCCGTGGCCCCCTACCTGGTTGTATGCTGCCCTGAATACACACCTACCCGTAAGTAAATACTTCACTCTACTCCCCAGTTAGAAAAATATGGGGCCCAACGAGAACAACATAGGGAAATAGAAAGTGGTCACGGAAAAACGGGTGACAGGAATGCTTAACCGAAGACTGTATGTATTTCTCTTGTTTACTAACAATGAGCTGTGTGCTGTTTTCTGAATTTAGATTTTGCCTAAGGGACTCCTGCTACCTATTTGGCCCATGTGTAAAGTAGGCATGCATTTAGCAAACCAATAGTAAGAGGACTGGAAAATTGACTTTTGCTCATAGTAACTATGAATGAAAAGAGGGGGAGAATTTTCTCCCTGATAGGTTAAAGAAACAGCTATTTTTAAAAAGTTGAGCTAAAATGTAGAGCATACACTTTAGTTAGGCAAAGGGATCAGTTCATTAAAAGTTACCCAGGTGAGTTAATCAGCTATTCTATTATGATTAATCTTGAAGGCAGTAATTTGAAAATCTGGCTCAACAGAAACACGTAGGCATCAGAGAACCAACTTCCTGAAACTGGGAGTGTGTGCGGAAACTGTATCCGTATCTTCATTGTTTCCCCACTGAAGGATCCATTGCTTTTATGTGATTCTCAAGGGGTTGTTCACTAAATCTGTGGTAGGCACTCAGGTCGCTAGTGAACAAAACAGACTTGCTTTTGCCGTGGTGGAGGAGATAGATATTAATCAACTAATGGTGACTATATTATTATAACTATAGGTTTATAAGCTATAGTAAGTGTTTCAAAGAAAAGTATGAGAAATTATTAAATAGTTAAAGTAAATGCTAGGCCTATTTCTGACCTCTTATCTCACGGAGATCAGAAAAATCTCCCAGGAGGACTTCCTTGTGCCACCTCAAACTTGAGTTGAGACCTGAAGAACTGGTCCCGTAGCCAGGAGGGGACTGGAAGGACAGGATAATCTAAAGGTATGTGCAAAGGCTCTGGGGCAGTGAGGGTTCCCAGCAACTGAAAGAAGCCTAGAGCACTGGGAGACAGGTGAGGTCCAGGGGCAGATGCCGCTGCAAAGGCAGCACAAGCAGACATTGGAGGCTGAGACAAAGATTTGGGGCTTACTCCAAGCACCATGGGAGGTCCCTGAGAGGCTTGTATGCCTGAGACTGTCCACATCAAATGTGCAATTTTTAAAATACCACACTCTGGGCCAATGTGAAGAATGGATCGGGAAAGAAGAAACAGAAGCAGGAAGAGCAGAGAGAATGCTATTTCATTAGTTGGAAAGAACGTCAAAGTCTTCCGGACTATAGGGGTGGTGTGGATATGGGGGTTCAAGTCACTTGAGGGACGGAATTAACATCTGACTTGGTGATGGACTGGATTTGTGATGATGAAGATGTCCGAAAGGACCCTATGTTTCTGTAGAAATGATGTCACATGAGGAGAGAGGTAAGCTGGAAGACCAGGGTGCTTTGTGTGGTGGTGGTGGTGTTTGGGATGAGTTTGGTTTTGGGAGAAAAAGCTTGCCTGAGGAACTAGTATACAAAACAAGTGGGCATCCGTATCTAAAGAAGACATATTTTGAAACATTTAAATATGAAAGTAGTATTTAATTTAAATATGAAAGTCCTATTTAATAAATAGTATGCTACAGAAGTTGAGACGTTTTTAAAAGAAAATTCATTTTAAAATATTTTCTTTGTATTAGCAAGGCAAAATAAAATTTATGGAAGAAATTAGTAATAAAAAGTAGCTTTGGATATTGTCAGTTGGCAACTGATTTTCACCAAGAAAATAAATTAAGAATAAAAAATAAGGAATTCATGTAAAACTTCCAACAATAAAGAATTAAAAACAAAACGAGAATTTAAAGAAATAAGGGAACAAAACAAGAAATCTCAACACTAGAATGATTATTATTCAACTCTACATCTTTAAAATATGAGTACATTGAAAGTAAAATTTCATCTAACAATTAAATATAACAAGTCCTTTATAAAATGGTGATTAATGAGCTCTGAATAGACAGATTTGATGGAATAGATGTACAAAATTCATCTTTGAGTCTATCCCAGGTCATTCCATTTCTAAAAGAAACATGACCCTTTGGTATTTGGAAAATGCAATTAGGATATCAATACCTTTGAAAGATCCACCACAGTGCTATTTGATTTAAACAAAACACCATAATAATAAATAGTATAATCTAGGACATATATCATATTGCTCAACTGAATTATTTAAAAATATACACTAGCAAATGTATTCCACAAACTTCTTTTAATTCCTACAACACCCATATTTCTTTTCTTTTTTAAAAAATGACTTTTTTTCCCAAGAGTCTCAGAAGGCCAAAAATGCTTTCATTGAGTTTGGCTGACTATAAAACCAGCAAAATTTTAATATTAATATCTTTTTTAAAGTAACTTTTTTGGAGACTATCCTACTGGCATAAGTATTTCTATTTGATAGAAAAGGTTTTTAGTTTCAACACTTATTAAAGGATTTAAAAGTAACTCATTGTCAAATGAAAACTTTTATCCTCAAAGATTAACGTGTGTGTATGTGAGTGTATGTATGTGTGTACGCATATGTGTGCACACATGTGTATGTATGTGTGTGCAAGTGTGCATGTGTGTGGACATGAGTATATGTTCACACACATTCATATGCATATTTATTTTCTTCACTTGGTTTTGATCCCACTACGTGAGTTCATAAAACATCACTTTGTGAAATGCTCATCAAAACCACAAAATATCGAAAGCTTCACTTTATCCCCCCAAGAAAAGACAGGCCACTCGGCATTGCACTAGGTCGCTTTATGGGGCGGGAGTGGAGGCGGGGACACCTACCGTCTTGCTGAGGTAGCCCGTGCTGGTGTTCATGCACTGAAGCCCCTCGCTGTTGCAGCAGCCCCCACATCTGTAGACGGACACACATGGAGGTTTAAAGAAGGTGTTTGTGGCTGCTCCAAACTCCTTCCCCACATCTACACACACCTCACGTGGCATGCATTGAGTCTTTCTCCACTCATTATCAATACCTGCGAGTCATAGGGAAGGCCAGAGGTTACACAGCAGCCACAAGGGGAGCAGCCCCCAGCAGCTGGGAGCCACTTACATTTGATCTCAGATTTTAAGACTCAAGTTTCATAGGTAACTTTACAGAAATCACTGACGGTGCCTACACTGCCCTGTGAGCTGGAACACGGTATCATGAGAAACAGCAGCAAAGGATATTTTCTAAAAGAACTAATTTCTACAGCCATGTCACCAGCTAAAGTAGACATGCTTCCTTAAAACGACACCGATATTCCACAGCACGGATGTCTGGTTTTAGTAAGAAAATGAACATTTGCTATATAGATGTTCCCATGGTCTGCAGAGGTAGCCACGCTCATCTGCTGTGACATGCACCGCTTCCCTGGGCTTTGAGCAAATAGGAACATGCTGGGTTCCTCCTTTGAAGCTGAGATGTCAATGAGATGATGGCTATCGTGTGGGACTCCCTTCAACAATGACGGTCAGGCAGGCTGTGTGGCCATTCAGGGCAATGCCATGGTGGCAGCTACTTGAAATACAAGGGTATTTGCAACTGGGAACACAGATCCTGAACTCTGTTTCCTCAGCAAAGTGCTCTCTCTTGGAGTTCCACCCGCAGTGACTTCACGTTTTGCTTTTAGCCCCGTTGACTCTTTAAATGCTGCGTTACAAAGCATGTACGTCTCCAATGTCCTAGTTCATTTCCCCCGCATTTCTCTTAAAATCATATTCTTTGGGGAAAGAGTATATACACGATTCATGACTCGACCATGAAGCCATTTTGTTTGGTTGGTTTTGTTCTGAAAATGCTTTGTAATCTCAAACCTTTACAGGAACTAATATCTAGTAACTGAAGGGAATTACTTGTGAAAAGTAATGCCCCCGTTTACACTACGCCCTGCTGGGCAGCATCATGATTTTGGTGACACTCTCTGCGGGGCCCTCAGGAGCTTCCACGAAGTCCCTCCCTGAAGCCAGTGACCCGTGAGACCACAGGGCAACAAGTGGCACTTGAAAAGGTGAGTTGGAATGAGTTAGGAATCAAACACTTCTAACTCCAAACCAGAAAGAAAATGTGTGTGCAATGATTTTGTAAGCTATAGAATGATTAAACTCACAGGCTGTGTAAAATATCCTTATGTTTTAAAATTCTGCAATGAGATATCACCTAATTTTCAAAAATTCAAGTGTGTGGTAGGCATACACTCTTCTCTATTTCAATAAATCAACCCCACCACTCACAGTGAAATCCTAAAAATGTGCCTTTGGAAAACTGCCTTTACTCTTGGCCCTAAAAACATTCAGCGGTCCCGGTGCTAAAATTCAAGGCACAGGCTGGCCACCCTCCACTGTGTTGCTATGGGACCCTCTTGTGTCTCTTCTTCCCCGTACTTACTTTTCAAGATCTCCGCGTTATAATGCGCGGCGGCAAATTTTACAGTGTCTTCTGTCCTCGGATCGGCGCCGGGCTGGCCTGGGTTTTGCTGCCAGCCTCCCTTCCGTAGCTGGCACTTGTACATTTTCCAGTATTCCGGGTACAGCACACTCATGAGCTCGTCCACGCTGGAAACGGCCCGCAGCTGCTCCTCCAGGTCTTTGCCCGCGTACGCCTGTCGGGGAAACACGCACGATCAATTGCCCATCGGAGTGAGGGATGTGGAAACAGACGCACTGGAAACCTGTAGGTTTCACAGCATGCAGGCTGGATCCATATTCCAATGGGATGCATGGCCCCTGGATGAGATCACTTTCCCTGATAACATAGTCATACTTTTTATTTGAATCAATAGCACCATAAAAATGAAGTTACATCTCCCTGTGAAAATATAAAATATATACTGGGGTTTTCAGACAAAAGTCGTGTGGTATAATGTTTAACATAATCTCTGCAGGAGCTGGTTTTACTGACAGTTCTTTTACAGAAATGGGTAACTCAAAAGTTTGGAAATTTAGTCGAGGTTGTGTTCACTCCCAACATAAATCAAATTAAACTGAAATCCACTCTCATGCTTTGCTTCATTTTTAATTATCGGCCCCGATCAAATGCAATTAAGCAGGATGCTTGAAATCAGTCTTACAGAAGCCCTTTTAGCATCAATAATCACATGAAGAATGGGATTTCGACAACATCATCACAGTAAGGTTTACATATTGGCCGACGCTCCAGTATTTCAAAAAAATTAATCATTGAGATTTAGTCTGGCATGAAAAAGACACAGAAGAGACCAGAAAGCATTAATTCCGCTTATAGATAGGTAACTATCTACATTAGTGCATCCAATTAAGTGGAGCATTCTATAGTACAACCAAGTAGTTACTGTACCTGAGAAAAATACATTTTTTTCTAAATTATAGTTTGAAATTATGGAAACTGGTACATCAACTTTGTCTGCAAAGTGAAATACAACATGAAATGTTTATTTTATATTGTCTTGATTATTCCAGCTTTAATGTCTAAATATAGAATACTTCGGACACTGGGCATCGCATCTGTTAACAATGCAGGTAACTGCTTTTCACATCCCCCAGTCGCACATCTTGGATGAAGAAACTACATTCTAACTAGTAATAGTTTTGTCTTTCTAATTTTTGAAGAAGAAAATGAAGAAATTTGCTTTAAAATACCAACATATTATCTAATTGAAAGATTTTTCACCACTGTTTTTAATTATCCAAGATATTCTGATGTAGGTAATCTTTATACAACATTTTGAGAAACATAATCTAATGCAGGTTTCCTATTCAGTACAGAGCCTACTCAGCAGTGGATTATGAAATGTGTTCCTTCCTACTACATAATAAAATTGGCTATGAATTTTGGGGTTTCCCTTTCTCCCTTTATTTTGTGAATTGAGCATAATAAAATATTACATTATGAGCATATTGGTATTTCTCCATTACCTTCTGGAATATATGTGATGATTCTTGATATGCCATACAGCTATACTACATTTCGTTCCATTGACTACATGGAGGATGGGGGTGGAGAAAAGATCTTAGCTTCAAGGAAAGTGACAACATACCCTCACACAGTTTCCTAATTAAATGTTTATGAAACACGTGTCTCAGGAAATCTCAAATATGACAAGAATCAAAAATGTTTCAGAATCGAAAAGGACTGCTGCTGGAGAAAAGCCTCATTGAAGTGCACAGATGCATCTGTGGTCACTGCTCCCTGAAGGGCCATGTCCCAGAGAGCTGCATCTGTCTGCTTGCCTCGCCCTTCATGCATGGCCCTGCGTGCTTGGTGGGTCCCTGGGTTCTCTTCCCCGAACTCAGCCGGAATTAAAGTCAGCTTGTGACCCAAGTTGACCACAAGAACCTCACATGAAACAGGCATGAGCGTTCGCTCTACCAAGAGCAGGCGCACTATAACCACCCATGTTCTACAGCACAGGAAAGACGCGTACCGAATACTAAGAAAGGGTGGTGGTGGACAGGGGCTTCCAATGAAGTGTCACTTGAAGTTTTAAGGCAAATAAGGTCTGTACTTTAAAATCTAGAAATGGGAAATAACTATAAATATATATA